ATACCAAAAAAAAGAAGTATCTAGTGAAACATGATGCGAAACCATTTGTTCGCGTTTTGAATGAAAAAAGACTTGTTCAAATGGAGATCTTTGTGAATTCTTTTCCCACAATGATGTTTAAATTATAATTTCATAAATAACTTGACTGTTTTACAAGATTCATTCCGAATATAATTAGCTAACATGTATTCAACCTCGCTCATGATTCATATTAATCAAATTAATTTCTTGGTCTATAAACAACGAATAATAGAAGTATTTATTGTTGGTCGATGTGAGTATAAAATATTAGCTAGTCGTTCTCGTTTACAAAGTAACTTGATATTAATTCTACAGTTCCATGCTGCCAATTTTTAGCGAAGGATAATGTGTTGAACAGTTCTATCAGATAACGAAAATCATTCCATCATACTCAAAGCAAGCAAACCAGATGACACTGTAATTTTGAGACGATTCATGGCATAGCTCTGGATGAACTAGGATGGTCTCAACCGATATTCAAAAATCCGCATGAAAAAGCCTAAACCTAATGAAATCAGCGCTGGCTTTCAAATCGACAAGAATAGATACTACACTTAGATCTTCGCTGAAAAAGTCGACCAGCGACAGCTATTTATTTTTGCTATAAGAAATCTTCATCATGAGATTGTCATTTCGCATTTAAAAAAAGTAACAATGAAAATAAAATTAACAATAACACGAGATGATTTTATAATAGTGAATGTAACCATTTGGTATCATGCAGATCACTATTCAAAAAAATTGATTTATCTCAATCATTGTTCAACTATCTTACATCGAACAAAATTTATCTCTAGAGTTTTTATAAAAATGGTGAGATCCTTGGGATAGTAATCTGAATTACACCAGTTAAGGTGATTCGAATCATTCTAACTGGAGAGAACTTTGAAAACCTCTAGTATTTCTCGAGTAGATTTTCAAGTATTGTTCCTCAGACAAGAAAATGTTCGTCTCATTTTACTCTATCTTCTCATGTGAAACGAGGCAAATATGAACTAATTTGGCCAATTATCAATCGAAATTATGAAACATAAACAAAAAAGAACATGTTTTTTTCGAGTCATCCTTCCTATCTTTGGATGAATATTTCATTTTTACGAAAAGTCTCACGAAACAAAAATAACTCGATGAAAAATAAACTACTCTCTCTTGATAAAAAAGAATTTGAAACCATCTATCAATTCTCTGAAAATAGAAAATTCTGTTGTGTGGATGAGAATAATAATACCAATCGTATAATCATTAATTTATGTGATTCTATAGTATATGTCTCTCTTTCATTAGTACGTAGATTAACGGTACATTCATTTTTTAATGAATTTGGCTTTGACTATCTCAATAAAAGATATAATAATTCTGACTCATATATTCATTATGTTATACGTATTTCTTACATCTTCTCCATAGAAAAGGATATTTGAGCTTATGTGGGACATATTTCTCGATGTCCAAACACTTACGATCAACATGTACTTTTATTTTTTTACACAAAATGAGTTGAATTGATTAGTTTGATGTAAATATAGTTTTATAATAATTGAAGATTACAATATACGAGTAGATTATTTTGTTTTTGATATACTTATAGTATATTTCTCATAGAAAATGAATATTCTGAAACAAGTCAAAACAATTTCAATTCAACATTATACTGACAATCTTTATTATGATGGTATTAAGAATGCTATAGTTTTTTTATTTTACAATAAAGCATGTCCT